GGTAAAGTGGAAAGTTGAAAGAGTCTTTCGTTTGTAAGATAAAGACTCTCTTGCAATCCGCCTCAATGAAAGACCATGAATCGGTAAATTCGAAATTGGCGGAGGAAATAAGATTGCTCACTTCATTTTGTATCCACTATATTTTTCTCGTAAAATGGAATATCAGTTTAATTATTATGGATATCATAATCTGAGTGGCGATTTATTTATGTTCTGTTTCCCACTATGGACCAAACAGCTACCTTTCGGTGTCACTGTGTTGTAATGATAATTCAACTGTTCATATCATTTTTTCTAAGAACGAAAGATGTAAATGAAATCCAGAATTTGAAGATAAAAATTGAATGTTCTGCTACCCAACCTAAAACTGACTGCAAAATGTTCCTGAATTAGGAAAGGGAAAGGGGTTATTTTGGAATATTTTTTCACAATAATATGTTACGAGGTGTTTCTTATTTCAATTTGTTAAAGCATAAGTTTATAGGAATAATTGAATGGTACCAGTGCTAATTTGTTTCGATTACATTTTCACTGAATTCTATGAAGAAAGGGGAGCTTTTATTGAGAATTTTTTTTCCTTTTTAAACTGAACATCGATAACCTGGAGATGTATATGTTCAAGAAATTTCCAATCGATCGATCCACAGGAGGTCGTGCTCTTGAAAAAGTCAGGGCATGGTCAAAACAAACTCGTATCTACCGGAAAGGGAAAGGGGTTTTTTTAAAATTTGTTTTCAGAATAATATGTTACGAGATGTTTCTTATTTCAATTTGATGAAGCTTACGTTCATAGGAATAATTGAACTTTACCAGTGATAACTTCTTTCGAAGACTCTTTCTCTTTATTCTTTGAAAAAGAGGAGGTTTTTATTGAGAAATGCTTTTTCCTTTTAAAACTGAAGACCGATAACCTGGGGATGTATATGTTCAAGAAATTTCCCAACATGTCCCATTACTGATAAAGTGACCTCTTGGATCGATACATACACGAGGTCTTATTTTCGTGCTAAATCCCTTTGAAAATGCAGCCTGTATAAGCCAATTAAAAAGCAAATAATTTTGTAAACAACATGTGCACGAGGGACTTTTCCCCGAAAGATATCTGATAGTTTTCATTAACATAAATCGTTGTGTTCATGAAAAGGTCAGGGTATGATCAGAACAAACTCACATCTGTTAAAAGGGAAATCCCTTATCTCTACGAATTGTAACATACCCGACCTAATAAAATAAGTGAGCCAATCAGTGAAGCTTGTCTGTGTCAAAAGATAAATCTGATTGGCTCGAGCGTGGAAACTTTAATGAAACTTATTTGAATGTACTGGAGTGATCAATCAGTGTAGCGATATCTCTTCAAGCAACTAATCGGTTAATACGAGGCAGCTGAGTTGCGGAGCAGAACCTCATCAAACACCAGGATTTCATAAACGTTGTTTTATCGTTATAACGTTAAATTCTTAAGCTGTTGCCAGCTTTTATCGACCACAAATGAAGTAACAAAAGCAATGGTGAACTGGAAAGTTGAAAGAGTGTTTCGTTGTTAAGATATAGCCTCTATTGCGATCCGTTTGAGTGAAAGACCTTGAATCAGTAAATTCGAAATCGGCGGAGGAAATAAGATTCCTCACTTCATTTTGTATCTGGTATGCTTTTCTCGTAAAATCTGCTTGGCGATTGAATTATGTTCTGCCTCCTGCTATGAACTAAGCAGTTACCTTTCGGTGTCATTGAGCTGTAACAATGATTTTTCTTCCAGTTTTTCGAGGAACGGAAGATGTAAATGACACTCAGAATTTTAGAAGCACACAATCACTGATTATTCAACCTAACTTAAAAACCGAGTGCAAATGTCCCTTAATTAGTCTTTCACACTGATATGTACTCCAGGTAATTCCTATACTTCAATTTGATAAGGCAGACGCTCATAGGAATAATTGAGTTGTACCAGTGTTTATTCCTCTAAAACTGCTAATCGATAGCCAGGACATGTACAATTAAGAAATTTTCAAACAGTGTTTGAGAGTCTTACTAAAAAAATGTCCCAGTAATGCATGATATAGAGATCGTATTCTATTGTGATATAACGTAACTTCTTGGATATACACGAAAAGGTCCAATTTGAAGGGTAAATCCCTTTGAAAAAGCAGCTGGAATAAGTCGATGAAAAAGCAAATAGTTTTGTAAAAAGTATGTGCACGAGGGACTTATACCCGAAAGATATCTGACAGGTCATTTACATAATTGTTGTGATCTTGAAAAGGTCAGGGTGTGATCAAAACTCACATTTGTTCGCAGAGAAAGCTCTTGTCCCTTCGAATTGGGATATATCTGAATCAATTAAATGGTTCATTAGCGAGATCCTGTCGTCCAGAGAAATATATCTAACATACGTTCTCAGAAAAGAGTGAATATAGATAACAAGCAGGACTAATGTTCTTCGTATAACTTCCAACATCGTTACCAGTATGCAAAGGCAGTTGTCAAACAACTTTTCAGGCGGTGAAAGTAAGTTATCTTCGGCTTGCCACATTAAGTCTTCTAAAACAGTGTGTGGCCTTTTAGGCTTTGAGCCAGCTTTGTTCTGCGATCTGTTTGTGATTAACTGAACTGCTCCTGCTAGAAAATCCTTTTCTTTGTTTTGTTTCTTTATGTAACATCGTAAGTAATCAACTAAGATTGATATAGTTGCTCTAAAAACTGTTATATCAATAAAGAGACAGATATTTTGTTAAATACCAAAGTGCCTTTTATTCTTCGGACCCTTTCTGAACACAAAGGAACCCTTCTTGGATAATACGTTGCTCTTCGATTCTTCACCAGGGAGTTAAATATTTACGTAATGAATTTGACGAAACCGAATGAATTTACCGATAACCATAGTGCCGCTTTATTCTAAAGATTGGCTTCGAGACTGTCTTTTTCTTCTTGTTATTTTTTGTGCGTCCATTTTACCTCCCTAGACACCTGTGTATTTTCTTTTTCTTAATTCAGAGTGAACTCTAGAGAATAAGAGAATTGTTTAATCTCAATTCCAGCAGGCCGACTTTAACGGTAAATTGTTGTGTTTTTAAAATAATGCCCCAAAATATTGTGCCACTATGACCATTAATCGTTTCTTAGAACCGTCTTAATAGTCTCTCAAACATTTTACTAATAATGATGGTTGTATAAGAACAAGATATGGTCATCTCGCACCTGAGCTGTAAATTTAGCACCTGCAGAAAAGAAGCCTGAAAAATATTCAGGCCTCGACGGAATTCGAACCCGTGCTTTCCAAATACTATTTGAGCGCTACTATCATCTGAGCGACAGAGCCACACTAAAATAGAAGTGCACATTTCAGAGGGTTCGTGGATCGCGGAGGGATCTGATAAAATTTGTAATGAAAGATGTTAAGTCCATATGTACTCTTCCCGAACTTTTTAACAAACAGATTAAGAGACACAGGGTATCACAGTCAAGCCTGATTCTTTTAACCTCGTTTTTCCAGGTTTAACCTTACTTTCCACAAGATCAGCACTACAGGATAAAATGACCGAAAACGAACCGTCAAACTTTCCTGACAGGGAGAAGGTAAATCAATAAGTATCTAATCAATCTTGAGCTTATAATTATGCTTATAGAATGACGATATAACAGCTTTCGACTGCTCCCTAAAAAGGAAAACCTCTTTACCTCCTTGCTTGCTCACTGAAGCAAATGTACCGGTAGATTTTCAGAACCAATGGTTTCTAAAATACATCAAGAAGCAACCTAATCTAACAGTAATTTACAATGATAATAAACAAGGCAAAAGTGAGAATTGAACGAAGAAAGGACAGCAAGAACGTACCCGACAGTTAAGATACATGTATGAACGACATAGACACTCTTTGAAAACTTGAATGATTGGGTGCGAAAAATCAGGGCATTTCGCTTCAGAACAAAGTTTTGCCTCAAACTTTGCCCTTCAAGTTATCTTTTGTAAAAGGAAAGAAATCAGATTGGTTCCTGGAAATAAGTTTAAATAAATAGAATTTTTATAGCTGGCATTTCAATTTTGATATGTAGTTGTTCAAAGTGCTCCACGGCGATGGAAATTAATAAGTGCTGACTATTTTTATATTTTTATGCTTTCAAACTTTTTAGTAGAAGATTTCAACGGGAGTTTTCGATGTTGTGGCCTGGACTTGAGAAATATCACCCAAGAAGAAGAGTACTTTTGACGAGTGTTTTGAAATAAATCATAGCGAACCTCTGAATGAACACATATCAAAATTTAAATGCTTTTCAAACCTCTGAAATGTCACACAATTTAGGAATGCAAACGATTTCTTGTCGCATGCGGTGGGTTACGAGGGTCGAGCTTGTCAACTTCTGATATTTTCGATGTCGCAAGAGGTCAAATTTGGGCCTTTTGCAACTTGATTATCGTGAGCTCTTAAAATTTTATTTTAACGTATTTCCAGGAACCAATATGGTTTGATTGCTTTACTGCCAAAGATATTTTGATGGGCAAAGTTTGAAGTAAAAATTTGCTCCGATGCGAAATGCTCTCGACCGCTCCTACAGCGATCGCCGCCGGGTAAAATAGGCTAATGTCGCTCGGATATTAGAACTATTGAAACCGCTGATAGACGTCGCCATACCCACAAAAAAGCCCTTTCCTTAGGGAGAGGGGAGTTCAATATACTCTCACCTATAATCGAGAATGATTGTATTCTCCTTTGGACGTCATAGAGGTACATTCCCGAGTTCAAGGTACAAATTCAAAGACGAGCCAACAAAAATGAGAAGGGAGAATGAGTACTGTTTCAGCGTACTACTTTTTTAAAACACCAGTTTAAAGGACAGAAGAGATTTGTTCGTCCTGTTCCTGTCCATGATTTGACCAAAAGTGTGTCCATTCAGTAACGCGCATAGGTGGCTTGCGATATTAACAAAGAACGACTGGGTCATCCTGATCTCACAGCTTATAAATTAATAGTCTGAATGTTTAATTGTAGGGAGAACGTGAAAGAATGGGCTTTACGTTAGACGAAATCGTTGACAAGATCAACCATTTGCCCGAAAATGAAAAGCAGCAAGACAAAAGAGACCTAAAAGAGTTTCAAAAGAAAACAGAGGAGGTGGATGACAACGCAAAGAAGACCATTTGGACCTTTCGTAGAGCGGCTAAGAAACTAGACGACGTGCAGAGGGACTGCAAGACAGCACATGCTATTGGAACCAGCGCTGGAATAGCGGGAGGCCTTCTTTCAATCGCTGGAGGAGTTGCTACATTGATGACAGCGGGGATTGCTTCTCCATTATTGCTGGCAGGATTAGTTGTTGGAGGCGCTGGAGCTACTACAAACATAGGGGCTGCTATCGTCGAGAAGATGATAAATTCAGCTGAAATCAAAGAGGCCGAAAAACAATTGGCGAAGACTAGGGACAGTATCCACGAGGCAAACAGGATTGTCCAAAATGTTTTGATGGCGAAAGATGGAATGAGGCTTATTTACATTTATTACCTTGCCGAAACCCTGAAGTTGGGAAGTCCTCTGGTCTTGAAGATCCTTCGTGAGCTGGTGTCTTTATGTCCCGTAGAAACATCTACTAAAATGGTACTAAAAGTAGCAGAAAAGTTAATGACCTGTTTTCAGGAAATTGGTCTGGTCAGTGCAAAAGCTGCAACCCAAGCTGGTGTTAAAGGAGCGGGAAAGGCAGCTGGGCAATCTGCTGATGATGTGGTACAAGCAACGATTCAGGCTGGAGCACAATCTTCTGATGACATATTACAAGCAGGGGCTACAGAGGGCGCTAAGGCATTCCGTGAAACTATCGGTAAAGTCGCCATTGGTGTTAATGTTGTGTTCTTGATATTTGATGCCATAGACCTTGGCTTCACCATCAGGGATCTCGTTGAAGAAAGGGGATCTGAAGCTGCAGAAGTCTTGAGGCAAAAGGCGGACGAAATTGAGAATGCCATGAAGCAATAAAAGTCAACAAAGTGAAAGAACTCGAAACGATTTTCAGTTAAAAATAACATTACTTTACCTTAGCGTGAACATTTTTCACCATGCAGTTAGTTGCATTTGGCCATTTTTATGAGGACGTTACATCTTAGGACTGCATTAACGACATATCGCAAGTTTTCTTTTTGATGTGGCCTCTTTTGATTTTCAGAGAGATAAGAAAAGGATGTTTCATTTTGATGTATGCAATAAAAAGGAACGTAATAAAATACTTAGATATTTTAAAGTAAGTAACTTCTGAGGTAATTTGGGTTGACGCCTGCATGTAAAGCAAAATTATTTAGTGCTTTCCTTTCAGTGGGGAGAAAGACCATTTTAACATTCTATCTACGTTCCCAGTTTAGTGAGGGACTGCGGCTCAGCTTCAAGGAAATCCCTAAATACCCGAACGCAATGACCCTTGTTAGAAACGTTTGGAACGCGGATTATGATATAATTGCAGGCCCACTTTTTCAGTTTTATGTCTGTTATTGCAATCATGATGCAGAGTCCAAATTCATTTAAAATTCTTTGACTTTATCCGACAATGATTCGTTGGCTATTTTGCGAGACAGTTCAACGGATTTTCATGAAATGTTTGGCAGGCATCTGGGCCACGATAGTCCCCACCACAAGAGAGGCGACCACGTGGTCAGGATACGCCTGCTCGTATTCCATCTTTATCTTAATCATTTTTCTCTCGTTTGGCGTGGCTTTTTGGGGGCTCCGCCTTCTTGGAACATTTTCACCTTATTTCTTCCGTGATAGTCATTTGAGGCCCGCTGGGCTTGCTCTTAGAAGAAGCCGGTGTTCTCCATGACTGCATATATTTAAAATAGATGAGTAAAACGCGATGAAGGTTGTACCCATTTTCGAGGGTTATTTCTATTCAAAGATTGGAACACCTGGAAATATTTCAAATCTTTACGCAGAGCTAAAAAAGTCGGCATATCTCACGTAAGCGTAAAATCGACTCCTGAACAGCACAAAAATCTATGAGTTTTTCTATGAAATTAAAAGAAACTTTCCTTCTATCCTCGAAGTTTTAAGGTTTTCTTTTGGATCTCCAGATAGCGATTTGGCAGTAATTTTAATACTGTACGGGAAGTGCTTCGTAGGACTGTGAGTTTAGGATCTGCTTCCCAGCTACCTCTCCCACAAACCTCCTCCCTCTCGGCCCCTCCTCACGAATCCTTAACCTCGCACACTCCCTATTCTTTTCACCTTCACTCTATTTACCTCCCGACCCCCACACCCCCTTTTTTCCTCTTGAGTTAACAAAGTTGAATGAAGAGGTAGGCAAAGCAACTCGAGGATTTACTCAAGAAGTGAAACAGGCAAGGAACTCTGATGAATAGACGTAAATACGACTCTTTCAAAATAAGAAACATTCAATTATTGACTCTCAGTTTCAGTATAGTGATGAAATGTTCTTAAATTACTTCAAAACAAAACACTATCAGTAAACGTACAGTCATGTAAAGAGATGCAAATGATGAAATCAATGTCATTAAGTCTCAAAGCTTTTTTGTACTAACTGCATAGAGAACCTTTGCGAAGAACCCAGTCCTTTTCGAGCCGTCCAAAGATTTCCGAAGGTTTTCCACTTATTTCGTAAGCCGTTCCGAATATTTCAAAGGTGTCCTGGTGAGCCTACGCCAAATTGTCAGAAGTAATCTCCCCTCCATATGCGAAGGTTTCCATCAGTTGTATGGTGTGTTTTCCGTTAAGATCTTATTGATTGGAATTTCTCTTGATTCTCCGTACATTTCTTGAAAACTGCGTCAATTAAGGCTGGGATAGCTCGAGTTTTTATCTCTAGACGTACTGGCTTGGTCAGCTGCCATAAGCTGACATGATGTAGGAATCTTTACTCCTTTAATTCCCAAGACTGATTATTAATTCTCCCCTTTAGCAGCTCAACATTTCCTTGTAAATTAGTGATGAGAAGTTGGTGCTAGATCAAGATAGCAGCTTCTACCTGATGAGATTGAATATTCTCATTACCTGTTTGCTGATTAATGTATGGATGTTATGGGGAGAAGTTTCATGTAAATCACGTCTAGAGTTAAAGGGTTAACCGCATGCGTGAGGCCAGTTGACAGACCTAATATTGTAAGTAACTGAATAACAAAGAATGTAAACAAAAATGCTCAATCAGTGCTTTGCATTTTACAAATTTGAAATTCTCAAAGTTTTTAGCAAAACATAACTTCAAAATGACATAAAAACGGTCAAAAGCCCAGAAAGACCGCTGCAAGAGATGTGGGTAACACTAGTTTAAAGAACTTTAGTTTTTCACCTTTGAAAGGTTTTGTAATGATTGCAGATCACATGTATATTCATTATAACAACCCAGAAACGAAGGGATAATTCAATAACGTCGCTGTTTTCACAGTTAAGAGAGACTTACGTTATGTTGATTGTAGATATTTCTTTTCCAGCAAGGATTAAAATTTAAAAACTTCTCTTGTTATTCCTGGTTATTATTGACAAAGATTATCCAGTCTCCTCGGTTGAACGTAGATATTTATTTCTTATCGTAAAAGCGAGAACATTACAAAGCGTCTACACTCTCCGACATTTTTCTCGATATCACCCGCCAAGGTGAAAGTACTTGCAAAGGACCGCCAAGTGGGTTAAGTACCAGCGAACAACTATTATTTAAGTGTGATGGTTTTGACTGAATTTCCGGGTGAGTGTAGTCATTAGAGTTGCGGTGTCGTTTGTTTTGGTAGTTGTTGTAAGTCGATGAGTGCATCGTCGGATGAAGTTTTCATTTTAGTTGTTCTTCGAAAGAACACGGTTAAGGTATTTGTTCTCGTCGAATAAGCTACAACCACAGCGACCACACCGTACATAAAGGGCATCAGTTGGAGAACATCTAGCGCATATTACAACCCTTCAGTATCCGCGTCGCTCACATGCTCATCACTACACTTCGTCAGTTACTTATGTTACTCGCTCCGTTCCATGTTAAAACTGACAACCTTTACCCATTACGAAATTATTATAAGTTATACAAAGTGCGGTGCTCGTGCTAATTGCATGGGTGTGCGTGCTGTGCGAGTTCGAAGGTGACGATTACATAGTGCAACACTAAAAAACATGAAAGACAAGGAACCACCGCAAAACAAACATTGCACCCCGCCTTCACCTGCTTCTTAAAAAAAAAATGTAAAGTTCAATTGCTCCGACTGCCACGCTTCCTGTCTCGGAGAAACTGGAAGAAAGCTCGCAAGACTGACTGAACACAAGCGAGCGACGAGGAAAGCTGACGTCGACAATCACATTGCTGAACATCATCGATTTACGAAACACACCACTGACTTGTGCTTTGCGCAATGCCTAACCTACAGCACTAATTTATTTCATCGACTAACTCATCGACTAACTCTGGGCTAACTCTGGAAAGGTTGTGGCAAGGCTCAAAAATTAAATTGTCTCAATTTTTCGAAGTTTCAATCCGAAACTTTTTCTTCACGCGTCGGATTTGGCATGAAACCTATTGGCTTCGTGAGCTTTTCTTCTGAGTAACGGTTTAATGTCATCTCCATTTTTTTAAATTATGGATAATGCGCGGATCCGGCTTGGTTCCTCAAGATCAGTGTAGGAACTTTGTGCTTGTAACCGATCTGGAAAAAAAAAAGGATAAGAGACCAACGCTATTAAGATAAACGAGTCTTGGAACCTCTTTTGAGTCGGATCCAAAGTGTGAAGAAAAAGTTCCGGGCTTCTCACGGTTTCATTATAATCATACCATTTATTTTTTTTCAAACAAATGGTGAATACATGGTCACATTTGAGTCGTCGTTGCTGCAGAAGTTTTGCCTCTCTCTTCGAGTCTTTGATATGCAAAATCTCACGATGCAATTCCAAACTTTTGCACGCTTGGCTGAGATAAACAACTCTTAATTTAAAATCTCTTCAGTCATTTCACATTTAAGCATATTACAGCATTTTATCGTGTAATTTTCATGAGTCAACTCTACTTCTCTTCGTAAATAATTAAATAATCATCGTATAAAGAAAACTTTTTAAATGAATATCTAATCCTGAGCAATCAGAACATGTCGGTACGTGTTTCTTTTTGGGAAAAAATCCCATAAAGACAAATTCAAGGATGAGGGGGCAGGAATGTCGTGAACATCACGTGCTTACACTGTGAGTCTGAGGGCTGACTTGGAAAACTTCCACAGAAAAACAGGTTTATCAGAATAGCTTTGTTCATTTGACTAGAGGATAATTTTCATCCCTTATTTTTGAAAACATGTGGTTTGTGAGATGTGGCAATGACAATTGCAACATAGGGATTTTGGACATCCGGGTGCGAGGAAAAAAAGGTTTGATCTCAGCAGAATGTGATGAACTCATTTGCTTGTTGAATAGTTTTAACGTTTTTCTGTATGACTTTATTGAGTGGAGTGTTGTCAGGAATCCAAACATTGAAAGAAATTGGAAAACATCTAGAAGAAATTTCTCGATTACTCCATATAGAGAACGATAATTTATTCATCGCAGTAACTGCTTTTATAATAATTCCCCAAAATATTGTGCCGTCGTAGTAATTTGATACTCAAACATTTTGCTAATAATCATATAGTGGTTTATCAACAAGCCATGATCATCTCGCTCCTGAGCTCACTTACCACTTTTGTTTCAACTTCTCTTCCAGCGCCAGACACAAACCCCCTTTGAGAGCGAGAGGATATCGATTTTAGAGGAGTCGTAGACAAAATCGGCAATATAAAGAAAATGGTTTTGCAGACTTTTCCCTTCCAATTACATTACGTAAGTCCATGAAGTGGTGGAAAACTATGGTTTACCACCTATTTGACATGGCTGTAATCAATGGCTTTATCCTTTTCAAAGAGCATCAGGCTCAGTTTCCTGACAATGAAGCTCTAAAAAGGCCCTCTCAGTATTCTTTGGGTGATTTCTGGGAAGAAATTGTTGGCAACTCTGTGGTTTACCCGATTATGGTAGTCCACCAGAGAATACCATGATGAAATCACCCCCTTCCACCCCAGAGGAATTTACAACTGTCCATATCTTAGTTTTCTCTGATACTCAGAGACGCTGTGTGGTATGTTATAAAGAGGGTAGGGGAGATTTCAGGGTTCGATCTTATTGCAATGCCCCTCAATGTCAAAAGTGTATGCATGTTAGTAAGGGTTGGGATTGTTTTGCAGTGTTTCACTCTAAGAAGTACCACAGGCAAATTTTGCTGATGTTTATTCCAATGTTTTCAGATGTTGTGTTTCTCAAAAATATCAGAAAAAAAAATACCTTTTTTTACCTTGTTGCTTTTATCTTTGTCAGTGGGAATAGTTGTGATTTGGTCCTTGTTTTCTCAGGGAGGACTCTCATTAGTTAGTAGGGATGTTAAAAGGCAAATTCAATCACTCAGTAACACATCAGGGCCTACCCATCCTCCTGTTATAAAGTCGAATTTCCCAACAAATTTTTTTTTTCCTGCTAATTTTTTGGAATGACATGGGCGCACATAAAAATTCATAAAAAATTCATTATTTATTCTTTTTCTTTCAGATTTTCAGGAAATGTTGCTGAAAAGGTAATAATTAACTTCTGCTATCAATTAATCTTAAGTAACCTATACCTGTGAGGAAAAGTGACTTTGACCTCAAGTTTTACACTATGTCTTACTTATTTTGTGTTTTAAATTTTACTTTTTAGGAAAGTCCTGGGTTTCAATGATGAATTTTTTTAAAATGCGAGACAGCGAGGAAGCTTTGTAAATATTCGTAAATATTCGGGAAAGTTAAGCAAAATAATTGCGGTGCTATTCAATTCATAAAGAAGGTTGAAAATTGTTATGACAAATCCTTTGATTCAGAGATCTATTATCAAAGATCAGTTAAAAAACCATAAATTCACAGCGCCTTCCTTTGCATTTCTTCCGAAGATCAGCCTTTCCATCTCTTTTTAAAATATCAATAAATTAATTAAATTAATAATATACATGGAAAAATTACTCATTTCTGATTGGTCAAGATAAATGCAGTTTTCAGGTAATTCAGTGCAGAAGAGAGTTAATTGAGTGCAGAAGAGGGTTAATTCAGTGCAAAGAAAGAAACAAATCAGACATTCTGATTGGTCAATAATCAAAGAAACTCACAGATAGCCAATCAAATGCGAGCCTTGGATGTCGCAACAAAATTTGAAAATTTGAAAATTTGCGAGCGAAACAATGGCCGGCGTTTTAAGTAGGTTTTGTTTCGCCACCGCAGCTGAAAAACAGCTTAAACAATGAAAACATTGTAAAAGGCACTGCTTTTTGGTTGTCGGTTTGGAAAAAGTGGTGTTTAGAAACGGGAATTGCCGAAAAAATCGAAAATTACGAGCCGACCCGGCTTAACGCTTTGCTCGAGCGATCCACCGCCGAAATTAAAAACAAATATGCACGACGATTCCATTTCATCAAAAGTGATTCGGACACAGACTGAACAATTCCTCGAACTGTTTAGCTGGACTTTTTTGCACCTTAAAGATGCGAAGATATCATTGCATATTATTGTTTTGATCGTACGCAGTTGTTTTGACCAAACGCACGGTTTGAATAAATTATTTTTTGCACTCGATGCGCGCGCTTTGCTTATATTTAATTATGATAGACCATCTCGTATTTTTCCATGTTAATTTTTAACCGGTAATCACATGATTTTTCTCGTGCAATTTGGAATAAACAAGCACTTGTTAATTTTTTCAAAGACCACAAATTTTGTTAGTCTTTGAAAAAATTTACTCGTGCTTATTTATTCCCAATTGCACTCGAAATCATGTGATTACCTAGACAAATTCACTTAAATTGACAAAAACATGGCTTCGTAACCTAAGCAGGTCTCATTCGTTTTATCGTTTCCGGGTGTTTCAGTTTGGACGAATGAAGACGCTGGGAAAATGATGGTGTAGGCAAAAATATTTTGCTTGTTTCTCGTCGGTATGCAAACGAAGGGGCTTTTGAAAATGTATTTGTGTGGTCAGGGCCTTATAAGGAAGTAAAGTCATTGAAGTGTGGCGTGATGGTAAATTAATTCGGGAGTAATTTAAGCATATGAAAAAATAACCATTAGATCAGACGTTCGTGTCATTTTCGGACCTGTTTTTGGACCTGTTTTTGGACCAAACAGCCATTTTTTGGAGTCACTGAGTTGTATAACAATAATTCAATTGTTTTGCAAACAACTGCTTTCTGCTGGTGCGATTTATTCATCTTAGAAACATGTACCATAACATCGACAACATTTTACTGTTGCTATAGCAGTGTTTGATCAAAACAAAACACCTCTTCTGGGGAATTCCCTTTGCTATCGAAGCGAAATACATCAACCATATATATATAGCCAGAGGTCTGATTGGTTCTGTCCGAACCTGATGAGGATATTTACGCGGGTATGCCAAAACATTGATCAGAGAAAAAGAAGGCTTCGAGCTGGTGATTGCTTTGTACCAGGGCCGTGTTGAGTTCAGGTGAAAGGATCGAGCGCCCACCACAAGGTTTGTCTCATGTTTCTGCCTTTTGCTGCACTACGCTCACTTTCCACTTGAGTTTCTTCATCTCTAAAGCGCCAATCAGACACACACCCCCTTTCAGAGCGAGAGAATATCGATTTTAGAGGTGCCGCAGACCAAATTGGCAATATAAAGAAAATGATGGTGCAGGCTTTTTACTTCCGAATGATAAAGTTATATCTTTTTGTTTCCGTTCGTAATGTAAGACGGTAGTCGGGTGGTCGGGAGATAATTTTGTAATCTTGATCTTCGTAGAATGATGGCTTCGATATAGAAGTATTTCATGAAAGACTGCCACTAATTCGCCTAAACACCGAAACACATCATGTTCTACTGATTTATCTGTGATATGCAACCGAGAAGCTCATATTAGTTATGATTTTGTTTTATTGTGCTTTAAGAGCGAGACAGTTACCCATCAAATTCGACGGATCCGATCGAACTAATGTTATTCAACAAATTGACCACAATTTTCCGTTGTCTCTAACCTTACTTATCATAGAAACGATGTCTACAATGTTTAAAACGAAAGTGAAACCACGAGGCGCAAGCGAGTGGTTTCACTGCAGAGTTGTTTCCAGAGTATTTTTTCTCTTTCTACTTCTCTTCTAGCGCCAATTAGACACAAACCCCCTTTCCTTTGCATTTCTTCCGAAAATCAGCCTTTTCGTCACTTTTGGACGTTGGCATAGGCAAAAATATTTTCCTTCGTTCTCGCCAATATGCAAACGAAGAGGCTTTTGAAAACGTATTAGTGTGGTTAGGAAGAAAAGTCATTAAATTATCACGTGAAGGTAAATTAATTCGGGAGTAATTTAAGCATGTGAAAAATAACGATTAGATCAGACGTTCGTGTCATTTTTGGACCTGTTTATACGTCGTAATGGAAACTCTATTAATTAAAAGCGCACGTTTTGTTGAAAGGGCATTTTGTCCGTAGAACTTGACAGTTGCGATGCACATGTAAATGAGTGAAAGGCCTTCAATCAATTTAATCTCAATCTCTAGAGGGAAATAAGAACATTCATCAAATTATTATCTACTTATTTTTTTTGTTATTGTAAAATGGAATATTTGTATTGCGATCTATTTATATCCTGCCTCCGCTATGGACCAAACAGCCATTTTTTTCAGTCATTGAGCTGTATAACAATAATTCAACTGTTTTTGCAAACAAAGGTATGTTATATTCAGCGCTACTTTACCACCTCAATTCTTTTAAAATTGGGTACGGTTTTTCAGCTTTGAAATATTTCTTGCATTCTGTTTATCAAAGAGCTGCTTCCTTTTGGAAGGCCATCACTTTTTTTAATCGAGAGGTTCGGGAAATAATTTTGTAAGCTTGATCTTCGTAGACTGATAGCTTTGATATACAAAATTTTGTTATGGAAGACTGCCACTTATTTGCCTAAACACCGAAACACAAAATGTTCTACAGATTTATCTATGTATAATAATAAGTTCAAGAAATTTCCATTTGAGAATCCTGGAATAATATGTCCCACTACTTATAAAGTGACTTTTTGGATCGATCTACACGAGGTCTTATTTCCGAGCTAAATCTCTTTGATGAGGCAGCCGGCATAAGCCAATAATAAAGTAAATAGTTTCGTAAACAACATGTGCACGAGTGACTGTTCCCTGAAAGATATCTGATAGGTTTCATTTACATAAATCGTTGTGTTCTTGTAGCTTATATTGCGATCCGTTTGAGTGAAAGACCTCGAATCAGAAAATTCGAAATCGGCGGAGGAAATAAGATTGCTCACTACATTTTTTATCTACCACATTTTTCTCGTAAATGGAATAACAGTTTTATTATTATGGATAACATAATCTGTGTGGCGATTTCAACAGGTTTTAGATTTCAACATCAACTGTTCATATCATTTTTTCTAAGAACGAAAGACGTAAATGAAATCCAGAATTTTGAAGATAGAAATTGAATGTTTTGCTACCCTACCTAAAACAGTGATATGTTCCTGAATTAAGAAAGGGAAAGGGGTTGTTTTTTAATATTTTTTCAGAATAATATGTTACGAGGTGTTTCTTATTTCAATTTGATGAGGCATACGTTCGTAGGAATAATTAAATGGTACCAGAGCTAATTTCTTTCGAAGAAACCTTCACTTAATTCTTTAAGAAAGGGGAGGTTTTTATTGAGAAATGCTCATAGGGATAATAGAATGGTACCAGTGCTAATTCCTTCAAAGACATTCTCTCTTAAAAAACTGATAATCGATAACCGGGAGATGTACGATTAAGAAATTTCCAAACAGTGTTTGGGAGTCTTATTTAAAAAGTTTCCCATTAATTATATGTATACAAGAGATCATATTCTATTGTGTATAACGTGACTTCTTGGATATACATGAAAAGGTCCAATTTTCGGGGTAAATCCCTTTGAAAAAGCAGCTGGAATAAGTCAATGAAAAAGCAAATAGTTTTGTAAAAAAAAATGTGCACGAGGGACTCATTTACATAATCATTGTAATCTTGAAAAGGTCAGGATGTGATCAAAACAAACTCACATTCATTACAGAGAAAGCCCTTGTCTTTACGAATTGTGATATATATGAACCAATCAAATGGTTGATTTGCGAAATCCTGTAGTTCAGAGAAATATATCTACCATAAGTTCTCAAAAAAGAGTGAATATAGATGACAAGCAGATCTGCGTTACAGAGATTGTTTGAGAATTGTTGTTACTCATTTTATTATCTTATGGAAGGAGAAACTTATTTTCTCTTAGATTTAGAAGGGAAAAGCTCCTAGGTAAGGGGAAATCTTTCAAAAAACAAGCGTAGTAAGTTAATAACACGCTACACGCTGTGCAACCATCATTTCCATAAGGGACTTTTTCCTAAATGTCTGCCTTCATTTACATTCAAGTGGCATTTGTGTTTATGCGGGGAAAGTCATGCCATGATAAAAAAACAAACAAACAAACAAAAAAACACTCCGATCTTACCACACTACGTCAGTTACTGACTAACATCAAAGACAGAGACGAACCGAGGAGCAGACAAGGAGCAGTATATAAGATCAATTGCTCCGACTGCCACGCCTCCTACATCGGTGAGACTGGCAGAAACCTCACAACTAGACTGACTGAACACAAACGAGCGACGAGGAAAGCCGATGTCAACAATCACATTGCTGAACATCACCGACTTACGAACCGCACTATTAACTAGGACTCTGCCCAATGCTAACCTACAGCACCTACTACTTTCAACGACTGACCCTGGAAAGCTGGTTTACTAACTTGGAACAGACTCCACTCAACAGGTGCCAACCACTACCGGCACCATACAAACGACTCATCCACGACATTAACATTACAAACGTACCGAACAGAACGACCTAACTTCACAAACGGATCCAAACCGACCAATCACGACGACCTTCGCCACTTGAGTCTTACAGACAATAACATCACGGCAAAACTGATCAATCAGTGTACACAAACTGGACTAAGTACATTCGACTGACAACAACCTTTCACTTGCCTCTGATGATGACTTCTGCTCAGATTGTCGAAACGTCAGTCACCACTACCGACAAAAGTCCTTCTCAGGACTACACTCAACCGGACGATAAAATTACACTATCACATATTTTCTCTTTCTTAATTCAGAGTGAACTCTAGAAAGTAAGGAAGTTGTTTAATCTCAATTCCAGCAGGCCGGCTTTTAAGGAGTGAAACACTTGAGGCCACTCATAATAAGACACACCAGAATATTTGAAAACAAGTTGTAGGCGTGGGTATTAGACTTAACTCGATTGAAAGGTCAATGCTTAAATAACACAACACAATGGATTGAAACAGGAATTATCTTCAGAGATTTTAGACCTCACGTATCCTATAAAAGCTATTTCTTTCCTTCCGTTCATTTTTTCTGAGAAAACAGTAATTGCCCGCGATAACGGGAGATGTACGTTCAAGGAATCATTTGAGAATTGTTGAATTTTTGACTGGCCATTTCTGAGCATGCATCGAACACAAATCCACGAAAGCTTTTCTTTTTTTTTTTTCCTTTTTGTGGGTAGATCCTTGTAAAACAGCACCAGAAATAAGCCAATAAAGGTCAAAACGCTCTGCAAACATCATGCGGACGAAGAAAATTTTCCAGATGGCTTGACAAGCCTTCGTTGTTCGGGAAAAGGAGTCAAGGCAATTATCTTTCTACAGGGACAGCCCCTTTTTTTAATAAAACCTGTGATAAGCAAACCCATCAAATGATTTTTCGTCAGTGTAGCACTCTTTAGCGAGGATAATTCTAAGTAAATGAATTTTGTTAGCTGAATTACAATTTTATACCTTCTTGAGCGGCACGGTTTGTTCGAAGAAATGTTTTTTCACTAGGCAAGTTGACGCACCCAACTAATTTTCTGTGTAGCTGTATCTACACAATTTTGTCATTCCCAGTTTTCCTTAATGTAACAATTTTGATTCCCTTTGCCTGACCTTACTCTGCAGGAATACGAATCGTGCAACTAAGAATGGGGGAATTCCTCAGTGAGTTGGCCAATGTTGTCATTGACCTGAGCGTCGATCAGTCACACTCGGACATGAAAGACGCCGAAAAGTTAAACGATAATGCAGAAGTTATGTTTCGCAAAGTAAAGGAAGCAGTCCAAAGTCTCCGTGCAGCGGCTGATAAACTTGACGAAGCGTGGAGTGATGGCAAGATAACTCGTATAGGTGGAACTTCCGTTGGTGTAGTGGGAGGAGTCCTCACCATCATCGGAGGAGTTGCAACGATTATGACGCTAGGGGCTGCTACACCCTTGTTAGTTACAGGAATAAGCTTTGGCGTCATCGGAGCTGGTACAAACATAGCGGGAAATATTAAAGAGTCACTCATCAACTAGAGAATGTTAATGGGACCATCAACGAGTTGTTGGATCACAAAGATATACCCAGACTGCGCAACATTTGCAAGCTGGCTGAGGCTAATAATTGGGGCAAGCCAGTGTGCAAGCTCTTCTGTATGATTTTGCTTGCCGCCGAAGAGGCTTATAAAGAAAGCTTGGCCTTTGCAGGACCGGCAGCCAAATTCGTTGCCTCAGAAGCTGGTAACGCGGGTATAAAAGCGACTGGGATAGCTGGTGCAAAGTCTGCTGGCAACGCTGGTGCAAAGTCTGCTGGCAACGCTGGTGCAAAGTCTGCTGGCAACGCTGGTGCAAAGTCTGCTGGCAACGCTGGTGCAAAGTCTGCTGGCAACGCTGGTGCAAAGTCTGCTGGCAACGCTGGTGCAAAGTCTGCTGGCAAGGCTGGTGCAAAGTCTGCTGGCAAGGCTAGTGCAAAAGCAGCTGGGAAGGCTGCTGCAAAAGCAGCTGGGAAGGCAAGTGCAGGAGCCGCCGATGATGTCTTACAAGCTGGAATCAAAGCAGGAGGCAAACTTGCTGGTGGCTTGATCATTGGAATCAGCACTGTATTTCTGACATGGGATATTATCAATCTTGGCTTCACTATCAGAGATCTCGTGGAAAAGAAAGGATCAGACGCCGCCAAAGAATTGAAGCAGAAAGCGGAGATTCTTGAGAATATTATGAAGAAATATGAGGAAGAAGGATTGATCTAAATTGGGTCAATGGACCATGAAAACGTAGCCATGTAGAACAAGCACAATTGACATGAACACTGAACCTTAAAAAAAACTTCCTCTAGCTTCTTTTTTAAACTTTTGTGGAAAACTTTAGTACCTTCTGCGCAATAAAGTAAAGGTTTGTTTGATCGAGGCACCGATAGAAATATTATTCGTATATTCCTAAGCACAGTCCAATTGTTGAACCTGTTAAAAGACAAAATAAACATCGAGCAAGAATTTTCATTATAAGTGTTTTTTGACGTAATTAAACTTTGAAATTGAATGGAAATAATATATTGCCATTTGCCATTCAGTAAAAATGATAATAAACCAGTTGATCATTTCTTATTCCTTTTGGCGGTCTATCTTACAGGTATAATTTAGCACGCTCGACACCTTTTCTTCTTTGAGGTGACTTATGGTGTAGACATGTAGTACTCATCCTCTGCACTGAATCTATAATCAGGTAATTTACACGAATAGCACGTAGCTCTTTTTGGGGGGGGGTACCTTGGGTACGCCCTTGCCTCTCCGAATTTTCTCTTTATTCTGCTGTTATGCAACAGTCTTCAAGGACTATTTTCTCTTTAGATATATTTTTAAGTATAATTTTAATTCTGTTAGTAAGTTTATTATAATTTTTCTATCGTCAATATTGTTTTCTTTTTTCCCGAACGTAACCGTAAGACAAAGAAATTTAAGGTAGAAAGTCATTTTGTAAAGCGTAAACATCGCGAAGGTACCTACTTAATATGCAAACTCCGCTTTTCGTAGCTTAGCGTGATTCACTAGTTAAGTGTAAAAGCATGACGAAGGTTAGAGATTGACAGCTCAGTAAGCGTCACTTTTATAAGCGGTGACCACCACTTTCCTTGAGAGTTTAGAGCTAGTCCCGAGGTAATAAGTTGTATGTAAGAGGGAGAAGAATAAAGAAACCTTCAACTGGTTCAAGATAGTTAGAAAAAACATCACAAACCATACTATTTACCTCGAATTTCTCCGAGATTACAGCTGTTGAAGAAAGTATCAGTCAATCGAAATCGCCGTGAAATTCGGAAGGAACCTCTATTCCGTAGATGAAATGTAGCAAACGCACAGAGGAACCTGGGAAATGACTTAAAATGGTTTGAAATTGAACCTTTTTTTTCAAACGGTTGTAGTGACGAGAATATCCTAGATACAATTTGTTTAAATCACTGCAGTAAGCCTCAAGGTTCGATCGACCCTTAATATAGATATATAGATATATGCACTCGCACGTCCAAGTAACAGAAAGTGTCAATATCTTCGGGAATCAAGCAGTAATCGAAAAGGTCACGACGTCAATAAGCTTCAGTCAGAAAAAACTATTAAATTGGTTGTGTCACAGTTTTCTTTTAAAACTCCACGCTGTTATGCCGGTGTAATCATGCATGATTTGGCTATAGTGGTACCGGTCACACAACTCCTCGATAATTATTTTACTATAAGGGCGTCACGCGTCACGGCAAACCTCTTTGTTTTGTTACCTCCTCGGGTGGTATAGAGACTCATACCGATGATATATTCGTATTATGTCCTTGCTTTGATAATCAGCCAATTTCAAGCACACTCCAGAATTTAAGTGTTGAGTAAGATATAGTCATGAGCAAAGATGTTTTTGCGTCATGTCACGGGCATAGGTCGGAAAAAAATTAAAGATTTCGTATTCCGCACACCGATGCGCTATCACTAAGCTACATTGACTATACGGTAAGCTAAGCCATTGTTTTTTTCCGAGTATATTATTAATTCGACATTTGCACTCGAAACACATTTGAGTTCTCTCCTTCTGTGATTTCTTGCTTCTAACCACTAGCGCATTAATTCCAGTTCTTGCCGTGACACTACAGAAGACAATAGAATTAAGATTGCCATTTCAGGATTGCGCGTGATTGACAACAAAGCTTTTCCTTGCAGAAATATCTGAATAGGTCTTGAATACCTCTAGGAAAAGTTTTCAGTTCCACGAACTGATATCCAAATTTTTATTTTTTTCCTAGAAGAACTTTGAAGGTTGCATTCAAAAAGCTGTTCGTAGAAAAGTCGGGGCATGATACTTATATCGATCAAAACAAACTATTGAGTGTTTACTGGGAAAGCCCCTTTTCGATGAATTCTACGATAAGGAACCAATCAAATGGTTTGTCTCTATAACACTATCGTATTCAGAAATCTAATTAAATGACCGCAATGTACGGAGTAAATGACCATTACAGTGGTACCTTCTCTAACGACGTTTACTCTCATACGAAGAAACTGTGGCATAGCCAAATCTCTAGGTTAGTAATATGTTTCTTCATTTTTTATAGCTAAATTAGCTCTTCAAATTTACGGCATTTTAACGTCTAATCCTCTGCTCCGAGTAACGCGCGATCCAAAAATCTGATCTACTTACATTCAGTTGGTGAGTTCGGTTGTTTAAATAATATTGTCGTTATTCGACGCTAGTTTACCACCTTCCTTCGATACCTTCATGTCTGATCAATCTTCTAAATCTGAACTGTTTTTTTTTTTTTTTTTTTTTAACTGAGAAAAGTGTCCTGTGATCTCCATGTAATAATCATTCGATCATCGACTCTCATTGATAACTTTTTCGGAACTGATCTATTATCGTCATGAAATAACTGTCGGTCTTACCCTTATAGAGATCAGTTCGAAAAATGTTTCTAAACTAGTTCCCAACCATCCAAGTTAGCACAGTGTTGCACCACGAATGGATATTTCTCTGTGGTTCCGCAGAGAAAATTCATTTTGTGACTGAATTGTGTCTGTGAAAACTGTAGATATTGTTTATCGGCTGATATAATTTTAAAAAATGTTTTGAGAATTTTTGACACTTGATTGTTCCTTCAATTACGGAGTTACTTGCATGCATCCAATGTGAACCAGCAATAGCCAACGATGAATAATTTTTTTCCGAAATCAAATAGGAGATACTTCGTTTTCAGGGAAAACGACATACACACGAGGGACTCTTTCTTAGAAGAAATCTTATATGTTTCATTTACAACGCCGTCGTATTCTTGAAAAGGTCAGGGCACGATGAGGACAAACGCTTTATTAACTGCACAAATTAAAGGGAAAGCTGTGTTTCTACCGTGACAGGGTAGGGAGCAACCATTAGAGTTACTTACTCCTTTGCGAAGTTTAATGCTAAACTTAAGAACAATGTGCAAATCTAAATGGAAATAATGAAAATAATAAATAGCAAAAGAGACTGCAAACAAGAAATTTCATCAGAAGTATCAAAGGTCTTTTGAAGTTTTCCTTCCATTTTCCGAAAACTAGCATGATTTTTGTAACGTGGATTTCTCAGAAAGAGCTTTGAGCAAAATACTTGTATTTCACATCAAACGCATTAGGTTTAAGTGTTCTTTCAAATTTATTTTGCAAAGGAAGACTGTGAAAGATTAACAGTTTCTTTTAGCATTACATCTGATGGTTATATCAGTAAATGACTTCCCGTAACCGTGAGTTTCAACCGCTTCTTTTGGCATCCACGGCTTTTAAATGGTGATAAATAATTTGAAATTGCACTAGATAATTTCACGGGCTCGATAGATAAAAGCAATTACTTTGCTTTTGTATGAGGGAGGACTAGCTAAGCTTCAAGATCAGAGATCTCGAGGAAAACAAAGGAATAGACGCCGCCAAATATCTTCGACGAAAAGCAGGAGCTAAAGAATATTATTAAGAAATTAGAGAATGAAGGATCCATCCAAATTGATTCAATGAATAAAAAAACTTAGCAATGAAGGGCAACCATGAAAGATAAGCTTCGAAAAGTTGAACATGCTATAGCTTTGCTTTTTATTTACCACGGATGATATCAGTGTGGAAATTTCCAATAGCCTTGCACAGTGAGATAGAAACCTGCTAAAGCCAAAGACAAAGATATCTTATCGTTCTTCAGAGTCCAATCTTTGAGCCGTACGTTCTGCAGCTAATGTTGTATTTTAATCCTTTAGAATAAAAAGTTTGCATTGACATAAGTTTTCAGGTCATTTTTATGTTTGACACGGGGATACTGGCGATGCATAAAATTACAACTGATTAGGAAAAATATATCGCCGTCAGTAAAGTTTAAGAGGGATTTCTGTTTCCATCATAATCTCAGCTAAATTCAGTAATTTAGGAATACAAATAGAAGAGGCTAGAAAATGATCCACTCTTCCAAATGTTGGGAAAATTAAGTGAAAACAAATTTTTGTCGAGAGCAAAACGTTGCTACTCGTTAATTACAACACAAAGCAATTGTAAGATACCAAACAAAGCTTACAAACATTAACAAAAACGCGCAACAACAAGGACGATAACAGCATGCTAATGCCTTACATATTTGCCGTGTGAGAGTGCTGTTCAGAAAATTGTCTTTGATAACGCAACAGCAAGGAAAATGACAGCATACTTACCATATGGGAGTTCTGTTCGGAAATTATCTTTGATAATATTTCACTTAGACAGACTTTAGGAGTTTAATTTTCTTTATGTGTTTCCACGGGGAGACTGATCCATAGATGGGCGCCATTATAACTAAACCTACGCTTTACGTGGTCAGTTCTTGGTATGGGAAGGGATATTATAAAATTAATTTTGCCTTTGTGGTTATCGTAACTCAAAGTTCCCGGAATTTTAAATACCTTACACTTTAGGTAGCCAGTTCTTGGTACAGGAAGGGACCATATGAAATTTTGCCTTTGTGTCAAAGACATCGTAACTCGAAAATATCTGCGTTTTAACTAAAACTACGCTGTAGTCAGTTCTTGATATGGGAAGGAACAGCATGAAATTTTAACTTTGTGTCAAGGACATCGTAACTCGAAATTCCCGGAATTTTAACTAAAACTGCGCTTTAAATAGTCAGTTCTTGGTATTGAAAGGGGAGATGAAATTTTGCCTTTGTGTTGTGAACATTGTAACTCAGTGTTCCCGGAATTTTAACTAGAACTAAGCTTTACGTTGTCAGTTCTTGACATGGAAAGGGACAACATGAAATTTTGCATTTTTGTCATAGACATCGTAACTCGAAAATCCCGGCATTTTGACTTAAGCTAAACTTTAGGTAGTCAGTTCTTCGTTTGGGAATGGATAACATGAAACATGTTTAGCCTTTATGTCGAAGACATCGTAACTCCCAATTCCCGGAATTTTAACTTAAACTAAGCTCTAGGTAGTCAATTCTTGGTATTGGATGGGGCAATGTGAAATTTTGCCTTTGTGTTGTAGACATTGTGACTAGAAATTCTCGGCATTTTAACTAAAAATTACGCTTTAGGTAGTCAATTCTTGATTTGGGAAGGGAAGTTATGAAGTTTTGCCTTTGTGGACATCGTAACTCGAAATTCCCGGAACGTTAACTAAAACTGCGCTTTAGGTAGTTACTCTTGGTATTGGAAGGGGAGATGAAATTTTGCCTTTGTGTTTTGAACATTGTAATTCGGTGTTCCCGGAATTTTAACTAGAACTAAGCTTTGGGTGGTCAATTCTTGGTATCGGAAGGGACAATATGAAATTTTGCCTTTGTGTTGTGGACATTGTAACTCGAATATCTCGACATTTTAACTAAAATTACGCTTTACTAGGTGGTCAGTTCTTGATATGGTGAGGGAAATTATGAAATTTTGCCTTTGTGGACATCGTCAATCGAAATTCCCGGAACGTTAACTAAAACGGCGCTCTAGGTAGTCAAGTCTTGGTATTGGGAGGGACGATACGAAATTTTTGCCTTTGTGTCGTGGACATTGTAACTCAGAGATCCCGCAATTGTAACTAAAACTAAGCTTTAGGTAGTCAGTTCTTGGTATGGGAAGGAACAACATGAAATTATGCTTTTGTGTTGAAGATATCTTTTTGTATATCAGTGGCTTGTGCATGGAAATTAATGGCCTGTCTCGCTTAAGTGCATACAACGAAACATGACGAGGCTGTTTTACAAATCTCATGCACTTAGGCCTCCTTTCACGAGAGTTTTCCACCGATGTCAATCTTTCTCCAGTTGGTTTGGTTCATTTAGATGTCATCTACATTATTGTTTTAAAGATTGTAATTTTTTCCTTGAGGCAATCGCCAGAAACTCTGTTTTGGCGGTACAGATACCTAACCTTTTAGCTTTAAGATTAAGATCAACATGCTTCCATTTATTATTGACTTGAGTCTCAGGATAAGCTAGTTAGAGCCAGTAACATTAGTGTGGTTGGCATTCATTCGGTGGTGAGAGCTCATATTTTAGCAATTTAGTGGTTCATTTAGGCGGATCAGGGAGAAAGGGGGCCGGTTAAAATTATTCACTTTTGGGGAACAGTTTAGGCGGCCCAAGGTAGAAAGGAGGTTGTTTACATTGCATCTTTGAACACGATTCCAGATCATCTTGCTCAAGGCAGGAACAACATATACATTTGTTTGAGCGGTTCCCCTCTAAACGAACTTCTTAAGGATGATACTCAATAGTTCCCCCAAAGTTTTTTTTTTTTTTAATTGACGGGGGGCGCTGTGAAACATCCTGTAGAATTTCTTAGAAGGAGAGCAGATTAGGAGCAATGGACAAAAAATCGTTTTCTGAGGGCGTAATCAAGAAATTTTTCCGATATTTACAAAACTGGTAAAGCTAAGTTTTAGTCTGGTCTAAAATAGGATTGCAAAATGCTTACGAATACTCAAGCGGGTCTAGTGTTGTAGTCGCAAATCCACAATTTATTCAAAAACTCTAACAATCGAGATCAGGTCAGACCACATACACTTCTTAACCTTTGCACGATTCGCTAAATGGAAAATATACGAGCGAATAAGTAAATCTTGGAATTTCCAACACTGAACTGTCTCTTCATCCGACTAAAGAACTCACAATATGTAGGAGCTTTTGTAAATCCGCAGTCAAACTAATGGAAACAACTACAAACATGGCAACTCATTCTCTTCGTGTTCGCTCTAAGACCGCTGTGCCTTTTGGGAGGCACATGCTTCCCAACACTAGAATAAGAAATCGTCTAACAAATGAAAATATTAAATAAAAATGGTAACAACAAGTGTATGTGTAACAACAATGGTAACAACAAGTGCCCCCTCCCTTAGAAAATTAGCAGCGAAACATTTCAAAGGGGAAATGGTTAATAATAGGCGCTGAAACAAACAGAGATGAAGCCTTGACCTTATGAGTATCACGTGCACAGAAGCCTTCTTTATTCGTATAACCAGGTCTGAAATACCACAATCAAGACTTTGGCAGAATCATAGCATAGGGTGGTATCGAGCAAACCCCAGCCTTTTTGGTGCAAAGCTTATCGACACTCGGCAAAAATCTATGAACGACAAACATTACACAAAAGAGACTTTGGACTTTCACATTCAGCCTGCTAAAGCTGCTTTTTATTGGTTGGCCTTTTTCCAGAGTTATCCAGGAATTTCACTGTTCGTATTTCCACGAATTGAAACTAAAAATGCGAACCAATCAAATAAGCTTGTCTGTGATTAAACAGTATACTTTACAGAAATCTGGTTGGTTCTGCAGAGGAGGCTCAGTGACACGTATGCAGAGGAGGCTTAGTGACACGTATGCAGAGGAGGCTTAGTTACATGTAAGCAATTTGATTTCACTGCATTCGTGGATCAGAGTTGCGGAGTTTTCCACCAAGCGGTTAACGAACTTGCAGGAAACAGGTAAGGTGAAGCGGACCCGATAAATAACAAGGTTTTAATTTGTTTTTACTGAAGTTAGATTTCTAAGTCAGCCGATACTGTCGAAGCTTAATCTGTCATTAGATCGGAGTATATTCGCGAGAAGATAAATGGCAAACTTTTCCTTCTCGAACTCGCCGGAAATTGACGGATCTTGGTCAACTTCGTCCGACTCATTTTTTAATTCAAATAGTTTCTACTCTTCCCAAATTCATTATCATTACGGATTTCATTGCAGTCATAGATCAGTGTTGCGGTAACTCGGACTGAGTTAAGCAGGATCTTTCGCATCACAAGGTAAGCCTTGATTTTGTGCCCTTTTTTTCATTCTGTTAGTAATACTGAACAGGCTTAATTCATAATCGTATCGAAAGAGAAATATGTACATAGAAGAAGACCATATAAAGAGAGGTAACCGACAAAGGTACTTCCGTCTAAACTCAGCGATTGGTGAATGCAAGAGAAGTTTAATCTAATCCTCCGAGTAAAGGGTTTATCTCGGTGGAATGTGACGAGCTTGTTTACTTGTGGAATAGTTTTATCTTTTCTACATCGAAAGTTGTTTTTACAGGAATTCAAATATTGAAAATAATAGTTGGTAAATCTTGGTCAACATTGTCTAATTCATTTTTCAAGTAGCTATATATTGTGCTTTTTCCTGTCGAATTCATTTCACTAACTTATTTTATTGCAGTCATCCGCGGATCACTGTTGCGGTAACTCTTAAGCTGACGGCATCGTAAACAGTTGACTTCGGTAGAACAGTATCTTATACTTCAAAAGGTTAGTCTTTCAATCTTTTACTCATAGCTTTTTAATTCTGGTAGTAAAACTGAATTCGAGCATGCTGTGCTAAATCTATTTTCACATCAAAATAGACACTGTTCATCGAAAGTATGCAAAGCGAGTGAACTGACAAAAGTATTTAAATTGCATCTCAGTAAATCTTGGCGATTGGTGAATACGGAAACATTCAGATCTATCCTCAGGAAAATGGTTTGATCTCAGCGAAATGTGACGAACTCATTTGCTTGCTGAATAGATTTTACCTTTTTCTATCGAATAATGTGTTGACAGGAATCCAAATATTGAAAGGAATTGAAAAACATCTAAGAGAAATTTCTCGATTATATACTTCCATGTAAACAACGGTAAATTATTCATCGCAGTAACTGTTTATAAAATAATTCCCCAAAATATTGTGCCACTATGGCCATTACTCGTTTCTTAGAACTGTCTTAGTAATTAACTTTTCAAACATTTTGCTAATGATGATAGTTGTATGACAACAAGCCATGATCATCTCACACCTGAGCTGCAATTTTAGCACGGGATTCGAACTCTTGCTTTCCACTGAAATACTAATTGAGCACTATTATCATCTGAGCTGAAAATTTTAAATTTCAAAATTTTGACAAGCTTGCCCCTCGTAACATACCGCATGCAGCAAGAAATTGTTTGTTTCTAAATTTTGAGATATCTCAGGGGTTTGGAAAGCATTTCAATTTTGATATGTGTTTATTCGGAGGTTTGACATAATTTATTTAAAAACACTCGTCAAAAGCACTATTTTTGAGTCCAGGCCATACCACTAAAAACTCCGCTTGATATATTCGAATAATAAGGTATTTGAAATCGTTAAAATATAAAAATGTCTAGCACCTGTGATGTTTTGAATGGATTTCAAAACAAGATGCAAACGATTAACAACGATTTAATAAACAGTTGTAAGAAGACGTGTTACAGCATCGGTGGACGCCATGGTCATTCTGCTACATATATCCCATAGTTCCTAGCGAACATCCGGTATCGATAACTTCCGGTTTACATGAACATTACAGCACCCATTAAATTTCTTCGCCGCAGTAACTTTCAGATTGTAGTGTGTTCTCACGTAGATTGCGTGAGTGAGTCATTGGTCACGGTGTCTTTCAGAGTGTGCTGTTATCGCCGGTTACGCTATATAAAATACCGTAGTTTGGTTATGAAATGTTGATTAGATTTTAATGGCTCAAGCTCTCTAAACTAAAATATAAAACAACAGAATTAAATTTTTTAAAAAGCGTTTACCATTAAAACGTTGAACACTATGATATTTAATCTGTAGTTGTTCACCTCTTTCGTCGCGAGACAAGGATTTGCCGGATTTTAGCCGTTTAATCAAAATGTTAAGAGTGTCAATGACTGATCAATCAGTGTGTTCTAAGAGCTCTGTCCCGCTATCTTTCAACCTAAAATGGTTAAAATCTAAGATTTATGAAATTACTAATGTAAGGTAGTCAGAGTTTGCTCAGCATACTGATTTGCATAATTCGGCTGCCCGCTAGCAAATTCACCAAACGTTTGAAGTCACCACGGTAAAGGAAATTAATAAGTGCCAGATATTTTTTATTTTTATGCTTTCAAACATCTTACTAGAAAATATCAAACGGAGTTTTCAATGGTATGGTCTGGACTTAAGAAATATCACCCAAGAAAAAAGAGTACTTTTGACGAATGTTTTTAAATAAATTATGGCGTACCCGTGAGTTAACACATATCAGAATTACAAAATGTTTTCCAAACCCCTGAATTTTCACACAATTTAGGGATAAAAACCATTTCTTGCTGCATGCGGTGAGGTTGTCAATTTTGCAATTTTCCATTTTCCATGGTGGAGGTCAAAATTGGGCTTTATGCAGCTTGATTATTGTGAGCTCTAAAATTTCTATTTTAACTATTCCCAGAAACCAATGTGGTTTTACTTCCTCACTACCAAAGATAGTTTGATGGGCAAAGTTTGAGGCAAAACTTTGTTCCGATGCGAAATGCCCGGGACAGCTCTTACAGAAATCGCCACTTAAATAGGCTAATGCCGCGCGGAGATTGAAACTATTGAAAGCGCTGAAAGACGTTGTAATACTCACCAAGAAGCCCTTTCCCTAAGTAGAGGGGGAGGTCAATATACTCTAATCTACAAACGAAAATGATAGTCTTCTCCTTTGGACGTCTTAGAAGTACATTTCCAACCTCAAGGTAAAAATTCAAAGACAAGCCACCAAAAATGAGGAGGGGGATAGATACTATTAACGTTTAAGGCTAATTTTTTAAAACACCATTTGCAAGGACAGAAGAGATTTGCTCTTCCTTCCCCTGGCAATAATTTGAACAAAAATGTGTCCATTCAGTAACGCACAGAAATGGCTTGCGATATTAACAATGAACGACTAGGTCATCTTTCCCTCACAGCGTGTAAACTAAAAGTCTGAATATTTAATTGTAGAGAGAACGCCTGAGAATGGAGCTTGAGCTAGAGAAAATCATTAGCAAGTTCAACCTTTTGCCCGAAGATGAAAAGCAGCAAGATAGGAGAGATTTAAAAGAGCTTCAAGAGAAAATAGAGAGGATGAATTCCAACGCGAAAGAGACTGCTGAGAGTCTTCGTACAGCGGCTAAGAAACTAGACAACGTGTGGAGGGACTGCAAGACAGCACATGCTGTTGGAACCAGCTTTGGAATAGTGGGAGGCCTTCTTTCAATCGGTGGAGGAATTGCAACATTGATGACAGCAGGGACTGCTACTCCCTTGTTAGTAGCGGGATTGTCTCTTGGAGGCGCGGGAGCTACTACAAACATAGGGGCAGCCGCCGTCGAGTCTCATATAAACTCAGCTGAAATCAAAAAGGCAGAAAAACAATTGGCGAAGACTAGGGAAAGTATAAACGAGGTAAACAGGTTTGTCCAGGAGGTTTTGATTGCGAAAGAAAGAGCAAGGCTCATATATATTTATTACCTTGCCGAAACCCAGCAGTTGGGAGGTCCTGTGGTCTTAAAGATCCTTCGTGAGCTGGTGTTTTTCGTCGGAGGAACACCTACTAAAATGGTGATACAAGTAGCAGAAACTGCAATGGCCTGTGCACAGACAGTGACTCAGGCTAGTGCGAAAGCTGCAACCCAAGGAGGTGCTCAAGGAGCGGGAAAGGCAGCTGCGCAATCTGTTGACGATGTGGTACGAGCAACGGGTCAGGCTGGAGCACAAGCTGCTGATGACGTAGTCCAAGCAGGGGCTAAAGCGAGCACCAAGGCAGCCAGTAAGACAGTCGGTAAAGTCGTCATTGTGGTCAATGTTGCATTTGTGGTGTGGGATGCCATAGACCTTGGCTTCACCATCAGGGATCTCGTCGAAAACAAGGGATCTGAAGCTGCAAAAGTTCTGAGACAAAAGGCAGACAAACTCGAGAGTGCCATGAAGCAGTAAAAATCAGCAAAAAGAAAGAATTCGAAACAATTTTCAGTTATAAACATAACATTGATCTACGTTGGTGTGAACACTTTTCATGTGTTAGTTGCATCTTAGGAATGCATTAACGGCATTTAGCAAGTTTTCTTTTGTATGTGGCCTCTTTTCATTTTAAGAGAGATAAGAAAAGGCTGATTCAATTTTGTGTATTCAGTGAAAAGAAGCGTAATAAAATACTTGGATATTTTAAAGTGGGTAATTTCTGAGGCCTTTTGGGTTAACGCCTCCGTGTAAGGCAAAATTATTTAATGCTTTCCTTTCAGTGAGGAGAAAGACCATTTTCATATTCTATCTACGTTCCCAGTTTAGTGAGGGACAGCGGCTCAGCTTCAAAGAAATCTCCAAATACCCGAACGCAATCACCCTTATAAGGAACGTTTGGAACCGATTCTAAGATAATTGCAGTCCCTACTTTTTCAGTCTTATCTTTCTTATTGTAATGATGCGGAGTCCAAAGTCATTTTAAATTCTTTCACTTTGGTAAACAACGATTTGTTGATTATTGTGCGAGACAGCTCAACGGAGTTTTATGAAATGGTCAAAGTGGCAGGTATCTTGGCCACGATAGTCCTCACTATAATAGAGCCGACCACGTGGTCAGGACACGCCTGCTCGTATTCCATCCTTATCTTAATCATTTTTCTCTCGTTTGGCGTGGGTTTTTGGGGGCTCCACCTTCATGGAACATTTCCACCTTGTTTCCCCCTGTGATAGTCATTTGAGGCTCGCTGAGCTTGCACTTAGAAGAAGCCGGTGTTCTCCATGACTGCATATATTTAAAACTGATGAGTAGAACGAGATAAAGGTTTTGCCCATTTTGAAGGGTTATTTCTCTTAAAAGATTGGAACACCTGGAAATATTTCAAATCTTTACGTAAAGCTAAAAAGGTTGGCATGTCTCACCTAGGCATAAAATCGACTCCTGAATAACACAAAAATCTATGAGTTTTTCTATGAAATTAAAAAAACTTTCCTTCTATCCTCGAAGTCTTAAGGATTTCTTTTGGATCTCCAGATAGCGATTTTGCACTAATTTTAATACTGTAAGGAAAGTGCTTCTTAGGATTTTGAGTGTAAGATCTGCCTTCCCAGCTACCTCTCCCACAAACCTCCTCCCTCTCGGCCCTTCCTATCGAATCCTTAACCTCGCACACTCCCTATTCTTTTCACTTTCACTCTATTTACCTCCCGACCCCCGACCCCCACACGCCTTTTTTTTTCTCTTAAGTTAACAAAGATGAATGAGCGCCAAAGTTGATCAGGAAGAGTGATATAACAATACCGGTTCCTGCAATTTGCAGAGAGTCATTGAGCAATTTGCAGAGAGTCATTGATAAATTAAATATTGGGGGTCACCAAGCTCGGTTTTGAGCATAAGGCACATTGAGCTAAAATTAAGGCGCTATTAAGGGACTTCAGTGTTGCTGTGGTAATCTTAGATGGTAAAATGTCAATCAAAAAAGTGTGCAATAATTGAGAATTATTTTGCTTCCATTTTCAGAAAAACAAGTTAAAAATTGCGTCAATCTATTAAAGAATTGTTATTTAAAACGCCTAGAATGCTTAGTCACCTTAAGCTCCTAACATAATAATAGGTTTAAAAACAGTGTGCGTAGCTTTGAATTTCTCCGACGAAGGGGAAAGATGAGACAATGTTGATCAACAAATTATCATCACAAGCAAGAATTAATAATCTTATTAGCTGCTTGTGAGTAAACTTTGCTTCCTACTATAGAAACTATTGCAGTCATTGAATAGCAATAGAGATGTATGCCGAGGAATTGTGCTTGCTAAGGCAAATGACATGAAGTTAGAGTCATGTGTGGAGTTTAGGTCCTTTGTGGGGTGATTCTGGTTTTAAAAGGAACTTCGAAAGCAGCAGCAAAGGCTTCTGGAGGAGACGCTGGCAAGGCCGGTGCAAAAGCAGCCGGGATGGCTGGTGTAATAGCTGCCGGTAAGGTTGGCACGGAGGCAGCAGTTGAGACAGGTGCAGGATCTGCTGGCAAGGAAAGTGCAAAAGTAGCTGGGAAAGTTGGTGTAGAAGTCAAGTTTGATTATCAACCTTATTTACCGCGGTTCAAAAATGATTCTATGACTAATACTTTAACCCTGCTCTATGGGAGTAGCAGCGGTCTGTATTGAAGATTATTGACCTTGTACGTCCGTTTGTTTAAGCCTTTACAACCCAACATCAGTATGCATATTCTCCATACTGTTCTCTGTACATTTCTATGGTACTAACAACGAGAATTTGTTTAACAATCAAGAGCTTCTTTGGTTGGTGATCATTTCCTTTATTCTCATGACCTCAATGTTTGTTTTAGGGGTGATACTGATAGGGGAAAATAGTTACTAATCACTCCTAGGGGTGGAAGGGTTAACCATACTATTTATTTTTCCACATCTTCAATGACGGATTCAATCAGTTGAGGCAAAGAGGTGGAAATGAAATAATGGCGAAAGGAAAAACCTTGATGCGCAACGCATAAAGATTGCAAGATACCAAAAACCGGCTTACCTTTCAAACATCGAACTGAGGACACACGAAAAACGAAAAACAAAAACAAAAACAAAAAAACAAAGGTGAAGGTAGCCTAGTCCCTCGCCGGGCTTCACCTCCCCACTTCCCAACCCACATCCTAAGCCAATGTTCCAACTAGTTGTGTCACCATACGCGGAATATTTTCGGTTTCGTATGTTTATCACAGCTACAAAGAGCAAAAAAAAGAACACAGCCCAGTTCGTTTCACTTCAAGTCGAAGTCGTTTCGCTGAAAATCGAAAGTCGTTTCGCAACAAATCATGGGCCGCTAAGCAGGTCGCAATGGACTGACAGCGGGGTAACCTGGCCCAGGTTGTTCAAAGCTGGGTTAAAGTAATCCAGGGTTAGTGTGTAATTTGGTTTTAGGTCTGAAAACTTTAAGAGAAAATTCAGTTCAATTATTTTTTTACTTGCAGTTTGATCATTGGATGTTCTAAAAGAATAGTGAAAATTTTCCTAAAAAGACTTTTGAACAAAGAAATAGAGAAAGCTGGATTAAAATTCAACCCTGGGTTAGGGCCAATCGGCCTTTGAACAACTGGGCCCAGGTTGTTAACGTTGTGTAGAAGGCAAGGACCCTAAAAAAACGCCTAAGCAAACGGGAGAAAAAAAAGATCACGGATGGGGAAGGACTATGAGTAAGAGGGATAAGACAAACATGTCCTGACCACGTGGTAGGCAGAACGAAGCGGGTCACTTGATGATCTCTCTTGATGTAAAGGGGTAAGAATGGGGCCAAAGTCTCGTAAGTAAACTTTCCACGGCCAAGTTACAGTTACAATGTTGGATCTGGATCTTGGAAATTAGTTGGGAACTGCCCTTAGCCTGAATGCCATTTTGACCATTTATGGAATCCATTAAGCTGTCTCGCAGAATCGCCCAAGAATCTATGTCAGACAATGAAAAAGCTTTTTATAGGACTTTGCAGTCGGCATCATTGCAATGAGAGACACAAAACTGAATATTTTCAGTTATTACCTTAGAATTGTTCTTAAAGTTCCTTACAAGGGTCTTTGCGTTCAGTTATTAGGGTGTTAATTCAATGATTCTCAGCTGCAGTTCCACATGATCCTGCATGAGAACGCACATGAGAGGAAAATATACTCTTGTTCTACATCAAAAGGTAATCATAAAACAGATGCCCTTTAAACGTAAGCGTTTAACAAGTAAACAAGTATTTTATTACGTTCTTTTCCGCTGCCTACAACGAATTGAAACAGAACATCCTTAACCTTATTCTATGGAAATCAAAAGAGGTCACAGTCGTAAGATGCAATTTTCTCATAAACTAATGAAAAGGGCCGGTGAAAACAAAAGCTTTTCTTTGAAAATCTTAATATCAACGTAGCTTAATGTTTATTTATTGAATATCCGTTCGAAATCTCGCCTTTTCCCGAGTTTTACTACTTCATGGCACTCTCGAGTTTGTCTGCCTTTTGTCTCAGAACTTTTGCAGCTTCAGATCCCTTGTTTTCAACGAGATCCCTAATGGTGAAGCCAAGGTCTATGGCATCCCACACAACAAATGCAACATTGACCACAATGACGACTTTACCCACAGCTTCACCGACTGCCTCAGAACCCGCCCTTGCCCCTGCTTGGACTACGTCGTCAGCAGCTTGTACTCCAGCCTGACCCGTTGCTCGTACCACATCGTCAACAGATTGCGCAGCTGCCTTTCCCGCTCCTTGAGCACCTCCCTGGGTTGCAGCTTTCGCACTAGCCTGAGTCACTGTCTGTGCACAGGCCATTACAGTTTCTGCTACTTGTGCCACCATTTTAGTAGGTGTTCCTGCGGAGAAAAACACCAGCTCACGAAGGATCTTCAAGACCACAGGACCTCCAAACTTCAGGGTTTTGGCAAGGTAATAAATATAAATAAGCCTTGCTGTTTCTTTTGCCATCAAAATCTTCTTGACAATCCTGTTTACTTCGTTTATACTGTTCATAGTCTCACCCAATTGTTCTTCGGCCTTTTTTATTTCAGCCGAATTTATAAGAGCCTCGACGGCGGCTGCCCCTATGTTTGTAGTAGCTCCAGCGCCTCCAAGAGACAATCCTGCTACCAACAAGGGAGTAGCAATCCCAGCTGTCATAACTGTTGCAATTCCTCCTCCGATTGAAAGAAGGCCTCCCACTATTCCAACGCTGGTTCCAACGGCATGTGCTGTCTTGCAGTCCCACCACACGTTGTCTAGTTTCTTAGCCGCTGCACGAAGGCTCCTAATGGTCTCTCTTGCGTGGGAATTCATCCTCTCTGTTTTCTCTTGAAGCTCTTTTAAATCTCTTTTATCTTGTTGTTTTTCATCTTCGGGCAAAAGGTTGATCTTGTCAATGATTCCCTCTAGCTCACGGTCCATTCTTAGGCGTTCTCTCTACAATTTAACAGATGATCGTAACATTGAAGCAGTTATTCA